GACGTGATGGCCCAAGTGGTTAGAGCGCGAATTTACTGACCAGAAGGCTCGTGGTTTGAATCTGACCTCTGCCTCTCGACTTCCCCTGTCTAGGCTTGGGCAATCTATAGCAGTGTCCCAGCCCTCGTGCAACCTCCGTAATGCATGGTAGTTAGGCACCGAAAGGGTGCTACACCTGAACGATGGCGACAGGGAACTCCGTGCCCATAATCGAAATGAACAATAACCCGAACTCTGCTTTGCACATTAACAGCAAGTAAAGATATCAGGACCCAGGAAAACCAAGCCATGTTAGCTGGTTTAATAGTAAAAACCAACTTACCTCTTTGCTACTTCCATTGCACAACTTGCTCGCCGCACAGTAGGAAGCAGTAGCCACACAAGCCATGTATTTCGGTTTAACCTGAAAAAAGAACGAAAAGTCAGGTGTAATGAGTCAATAGTTAATAAGCCTCTTTCTACAGCTACGGTTTTTGGTTGGTTCCCTCAAAATCGTATTGCGGCATTTATAGGTTGGTTTTCTGTCTTTCTAGAATTAATAGTTACCTACAATAGACGAGTCCCACGCTATCTGCGACACGCGTACACCGCAGAGACTGCTGGAGGAACCAACATTCCGTATCGATACATATTCAAATCCAGACAATCGCAGGAACATGTACTTTCAACCGTTCCCATGGGCAGTTCACGTTTAGCTTTTTCTACACTCTGCTATTTTATTCACCATTTTTAAGCCTGTCGTGTGTTAAATGCCAACCACCAGAGGGAGTCCATTGTTGACTGAGCAGCACTCGTCACTGTGCACGATTTGAATGACCAATACCACAGGAAGCAATGAGCAGTTGACATTTGCGTGGGCCCCCTCGTTCAAGAGCATTTCTAACCCTCAAGTTCTCTTATCCTAGCTGTGGATACAACGGATGTCTATGCCTGGGATTTTCAAACAGCGCCCAGAACTAAGTGCACCACTGGATCGATACTGAATTGGTTTTCCACAATCAATCAACTTTTGATTCACTCGGTATGATTTGAGAAACAGCCAGACGTGATGATACCAGCTTTCTAGAGGAATAACGCAACAAGCCGAAATACTAAACGTCAATAAGATGCCTCAATAGACGAGTGCATCAGGGTTGAAGAAGCAATAACGTCTTTTTGATGCCTAGCTAGCATGCCACCCGAAAGGAGCACGAGAACTGAGATGTGCTGACTGACTCGAATGACTTTTCAGATGGTGGTTTGAGTCATCAAGTGATTTTTACTCTTCCCCTGAACTACTTAGAGATCGTCGATGGTGTAGAATTTGCAAATGATGTAGATTTCGTCCACATATGACCATTTGAAGTGGATCCCGTGATTGAAGGATGCTTGACGCCATATCCCGTCTGGGTGCGAGCTAACGAACGATTAACTGTTCAAACGGTTAACCGGGAGGTTGTAGAGTGTTCAAGGTCCCATGGAGTTTCGGCTAATGATCCCCAATAAGGACGAAAGAGCTGTACAGTGCTTCTCGGCCTCCGACCATACACTAGTTTCACTTACAGGGCAAAATCTCCACCAAAACTCCCAAATCTCCTCACACTACCAGCAATCTATAAGTAGCTCAGTTCAACAAAAGTACACTTGTTTAGAAATTCCAAGCTCAGATAGAACCGCAGACTGATCAACAGGAAAACCTCGGAATAGTCAATTTAATGAGTGGTTTCCGTTCAACCGAATATAAATTACACAGGACTTCACCTCTCTTTCAACGATTTTTCTTCGGTATCGGTCACTAGGAAATCCACCAAGTATGGCTGATTTGTCCCTGAGAAATTCAGAGCACACCTGTTAATTAACCCGCTCCCCTATGATCAGCACAAATTGTGTTATATGAATGACTTGTTATCATCGCTGATGTGCTATTGCCGTGGAAAGTAGAGCGTGAATGAACGATAACGAGGTCACACGAATCGATACCAAATCAACGCAGCAAGCTAAATCTCGCGTGATTCATACGGTTACGAGAAATACCATAGCATACTTGCCGAGGCAAAGACAGCCTAGCGTGAAACGCCTACTGTCTGTGGACGGATGAACAAAAGCATCGAAAGGCTTTTCGGATGTACAAATGAAAGGAGTGGATGGTTTCAGCCGAACTGGACCGAAGGGGCAGTTCTAGAAGCACACAACCAGAAACAAAGATGACCCCGAAATTCGATGAGGAATCGGATGTACGGCTGTCGAGTAACAAGAATGATCACGTCCGAGAATGAGGGGGAGCGTCCAAACCAGAGTAATGATAAGAGTTACAAAATCATTGAACAGTGCTGAAGTTGAGTATCTCGTTGAAGAAAGTCATTTCACCACAGACCCAATAGTATTTCGACCGTCCTATCCAATGTACGGAGGACATTTGAAAGTTGTAACTCGGCAACAGTGGCTCACTCAAGGTGCCGACATTCAACCAAACCTTCAGTAGTGAGAAGCGCCATTCAAAGACAATGTAGGTGGCCCGGCCTGGCCTGATAGTCACCCAATTTTCCAAACCGGTCTACTGAGCTTCTTCGTCGAATAGTTGCCATACTCTAACAACTAACACATTATACATATACGCATGCATCTCAGTCACCCGCAAGATGCAGGGGGCGACTGTATTCAGCCTGAGAAGTACGACTGAATCGAGCTGGTTGGTTATGCTGTTTTTGTTCCTTCCGATTAGTTCTCAGGAGATTAACACCACACTCGCTCCTAGACCATCTAACTGTTAGGAAGTCAGCGTACTATGCATGTTGAAATGATCTCATGGAGCTGGTAGACAACTACTAGGGAACAACCAACTCACCTTGACCTTTACAATAAAGCGATCAATCAAGTTGACAGCCTTGCAAAACGTCTCGGTCGATAAGTTGAAGAACGCGTTGTGCATAAATCGAAGATTGTGCACAGCCTCGTTGCGCAAAGCCGCGTCGACTTTGTCTTCAACTTCCTAAATGGACAGAAAAGATCGGTGGTGAGTGAATAGTAATGCAAAAACCGGATGCAGTGAACTGAATCAATCAATCAATCAGTTAATCTATCAATATAAAATCTATAAACCGTGTCTCACAGGCACATTGGTTACAGTTGCTACAGCTTCGGTCACCAGAAAACGGAAGTGTGGGACATACAGCCAAGTCTCGGAGGTGATGTCATTTTTGATTAGTTCGGGAACTGGTTAGCTATGCGTTGAAGGAGACAGTTTTGAGGCACAGTGAATCAGTTAACTGGCTAGTGTTTTCATACCTAGTTGCCAGGTCATACACTCTCCACTTCTTGGCTGCTTATACTTAGCACAGGGCCGGGAGGAAAGAGCTCTGCGAGGCAGACGGTCTTCTGGCATCCGGAGTATGTCCTACCCAGTGTAACCTACGAAAAGTGAGCAATTCATCTATCGCGGGAAAGCTCCTTCTTCCTCAGACCATCTGGTGTACCTGAGCATTGCTAATCCGATATTCCTACCAGACCTGACCAATCCTTCGGATATACCGAGTAGAGGCCAAGTCTCTGATCCATAAAGCAACACGGAACGCACCGACGCAACATAAACTCTATCCTTGAGAGACAAGCTGACGTCACGTCGGCGCCATAGGTGTCGGAAGTTGGTAAAAAGCTATCATGACCTTGTCGAGTCTGGAAGCAATGGCATCTCCAACCGGTCCAGCGGAACTTACACAACTACCCAAGTAAACAAATTCATCTACCACGTCAATTGGCTCGTCTGGATGCGTGAGGTTTGGGTTTGATCCCATCCAGTCTTGTAGCGACTTTTCAGGTGTGAAGCGCACGCCAAACCGTGAAGGAGAGTTATTGGGGTTATTTAAAGTGGTTTGCATTTTCGAAGGATCTGAACCAAGGAGAGCATCCCTAATGTCTGTGAAGGAACGTCCCTAGAGCATTTCGACTCCTGAGGTTTCAGAGACAGACAGAGAAATCCCAACCATCACATCGATAACAAAGTTGAAAATGCAAGAGGGGGCAGTCTTCCAACACTGGACGTGGCGAACTCAAACGAAAGTTAGTCGTATACTCGTACGCGCCCACAGCAACTCCTCTGATCACCAGACGCTGCGAAAGTTTCCGAAGATCGACAGAGTCAAAAGCAGCTTTCAGATCCAGAAAGACAACCACCGTGGGACGTCTGAAGGAGTGGCGCTGTTCAAGAACTTGTCTCAAGGTAAAGATATGGTCAATGCCCCCTTGGCCAGGACGAAACCTATCTGACGTCTGAAGAGTGGCGCTGTTCAAGAACTTGTCTCAAGGTAAAGATATGGTCAATGCCCCCTTGGCCAGGACGAAACCTATCTTGGTTCTGACGATTCTGTCTCTTCCGGTAACCGACCAAGCTGCGCAAAACAATGCCAGATGCTGATGCCAAGATGACTTTCGCATGACGTTCTTGCAGATGCAGTGAATTATACCAGTCTTATGCTTTCTGTTCACAGAACAATGTCTTGGAACGCATTCAAAATAAACCTCACTCGAACTCTTTGTGGGTTACAGAGACGAAACTAGTCGAAGCCTTTGAGTTTATGTGGAAACATGCACTGCCACCTGCTAAGTGACGGAAAAGGGAAAACTGTTTAGTCCCTGACGCGGCCCCATGGATGGTTGACGATAGGGAATCGGTGGAGAATTGTGGGAATACAGAAGGCATGGATTGCTTGAAATCTTACACCTAGTTAGAAACAGTCATGAGGATACGTAGTTGTGCCAGACGCAGAATCGAGGCCAACTGTCGTTTTTGGTGAAAAAGTCACACAACCATGATTGGGAATGGAAGCGGGCGTCAGAACGAATAACCGACAGGTCCACTCATAGTATGACCATAGGAATGATAGTCCCATTGTAGCCATCTTTCGGTGCCTAGCCGATGTGACAACCAGAGAAGTGCGAGGGCTGAGATACTGTCAGATTGCCCAATGATCAGGCGAGATGTTGAATTGGAGTTCGAACCACAGACCTCCTGATGCCTTATCCATTGAGCTATATCGAGCTCGGTTCATACACAAGATGCGCCAGCACTATTTCGTTCAGGGAGAAGGAATAGCGGAACAAAACAACGACCACTTCATTGCTTCAGTGGTCCAAAGGCACACAAAGAAACATAGTTTACACAGTCAAACACAGAGATGATAAAAAGCAATGGTCCGTACGGTCAATCGCTCTGGGGTGCAGTGCACAGATGGTAGAATGTTGCAGTATTCCACAGTGGTGAAGTGTAGAGTGCGTCAGTGAGAGCAGTTACCTTATTCGGTGGCGAAAAACAATCGTCGTGTGCGGAAGGTTCGCAATAGATCAATTCATCTGCCTGCCTATAAGTCTGCCTATAAGTTTACCCGTCTAGGGGAAACACCACTGTCTGCCTATAAGTTTACCCGTCTAGGGGAAGTAAAGCGCCTGCAGTGCACCAAGGCTTCGAGAGAGCTCAGTGGGAACTTACTGACCGGAAGGACCGTCGCTTGAACCCAACTCCGCCTGCTCCTGTCTAGGCTCGGGAAGCCTGGTAGTAGCTCAGGCCCCGGCATTCATCGATTAGCACGGCAGATAGGCACCGAACGGGTCATATAAATGATAGATTATGGTTATTATTGGTGCAATAGCAAAAACGGATAGCCAGTGTGCGATTCTTGCTCACGATAACAGCTTTCAAAGCACAAGCTGCTCGTTGAAAACGTCAAGGAGATCATCTAATGACAGCGAAATTGGTCGGCCCCAATGAGATTGGATAAGGTACAAGAAAGATGACCGGTTGTTTGAGGCTAGAGATAATGGCAGATACAACGCACAACTAATGATCCTAGTGGCGTTCTGCTTTCTGCTGCCTCCAACGTCCTGGTCTCCTTAAAACTCTACACAGTTTGTTTCACCTTTTTCACGGGCACCCAGCGAAGCATAAAAGTGTATGTATAACATTTCTTGTTGACCCACCTGCGGGCGGTAACCTATCACGCTTAGAGTACACAAACGTTTACTGTGTAAAATCAGATGCACCCAAATCCGCATTCTCGTATGAGATTTTTTAGACTCTCAAAACACAAAGAGGAGCCATCATACCTCTTATTTGTGATTGGAACATTCGAAAATTTAACTGTGAAAAAATCAGTTGGTGGAGCTTTTGTGATTCAGAGGATTGGTTCTAATTTACCATCTTAAACGCTACAAATTAACAGATGTATAATACAAGCCGACCGACCAGTATGCGGGTTCAAAACAACTGCCCGAATGTTCCAAAATTCAAATTTATTACAGCATCACATCCTAATCAATCGATAAATTATCCACTTGCTTCGCCGGTGAAACCAAAATCTACGTCTGACCATAATTCCGTATTATGGAAGTGAACAAGAATTCCGCTACTTTCCCGAGACTCGCAATTTAAATTCAAATCGACTGATTAATAAGCTGCTTGGTTAGCCGCGCATTGGTAAAAAATGTTACGATGGTTTGTCCCCAAGTCTAGCTGTATCACGAGACATCAGAGACACATTGTATCTGAATCCAGACTAATGAACCCCACACTCGGACCTGGACCAACCAAGGTCGAGCTTTACCAATGCGACGACGATTGGAATGGCATGTTAGCAACTAATCGATACACGTACACTGGTAAGAACCCGAACAGCCTTGTGAAGCGCACCAATGGTGTTAGTGTGCGTACTGAGTTGTCATAGTCGTGCGATCTAACAGACACCAATGACACAAAGCGTGAGTATCAAACCAGAGCAATACGATCCGGGCTGATTCGTCGATATAGAACCTGATTGTGGCTTTTCTGAGTGAGCGGGTATAGAATCCGTACATTATAGTGGATCAGTCCGGTGGACTGTTCAACTGAATTGCGCATACAAGGAACCGTAAATTCTGGAAAGAAATCATGTGGAGAGAAGCTAAATTACGTACGCATTATAAAATTGGCACAAGCGGGAACACGCTTCATATTTTGCTTCTTTGGAAATATTACGCAAACTGGAGCTCAAGGGTTCCTGTCACCCTCCATTCAACCAAGACAATCTACCCATGAATAAGTTAAACACTGATCCCGTGACACAGAAGACGATCTCAGTTGTTATCCTTTCAAGGTTGACTGAACTCCGGGAGAGGAATTCGTGAAAACCAAGCTGTGTTACGTCTTGTAACAGGATGCATCAATCACGTTTTCACTCTTCGTGAGTTCGGAACAACGACACTATTTCCTTGACTTGGAAGTTGTCTTTGATTCTGTGGACCGCCAGGAACCATGGCAGTGTTTATGGAGCAAACGTGTCCCTCATAACTTCTTGACTCATCCTTCCCGTGTGAAGATCCACGGGAAGCTCTCCCGAGTTCAATACCTCAAGTAGTGTCAGGCGAAACGGTCCTCTTTCACCTTTCCTCTTCAAATTCGCCAGTGATGCGATTATGGATTACTCACTACAAGCCTCTAATGTCCGTACGATCGAGGTTCTCTCGGGGCATTCGCTCACAGGTATCAACGCTGATAATGAACACCATATTGCTCCCATGGCCTTTACCTTCTTCTGTAATCTTTGACCTAGCTATCTGTTCTATGTAGCAGAACCTCATCTCACATGGTTTCACGGCTGATAAGGCTATGCAACAACGCTAAACCACCCAAAATTATCACCACAAAATAGCCGCACTATGGTCAAATACATAGTTGTCAGATATATAGTTGGCGCAAGCAACAGATGTAGATTAAAACAAAATGAACCCGATTGTGCAGATTGGGTGACAATAATCTTCGTTGGAAGATCATGCCCCGTCTCATGTTCCAGCCACACGTCTCACATGTTCCACCTGACAGGTATGCTCCCGGGGTTTTCAGGATTCTGTAATTTACTTTTCCGATATCCTAGGTTTATGGATTTCGAAGCACCCCAGGAATCAGCCCACGAATGATAGACTGAAACGCAGTATAGATTGACACCACATCAGGTAAGATCGCGGAGCAAAGGTTCAACTTTTCATGCAGCTACAGTATGATCTCAGACGAAAAATGTGGCGCGTCATTGAAAAGCGCACCAATCCGGGTTAGAACGATCGATTGGAACACGGAATGGACATGCTTCGGGGAGTCTCAAGGACCGTGACTTAAAAGTGCAAGCTGTTTGGTGTGAGATGGTCACATAAGACCTTCAGCGAAGTAAACGATCGTATACATGGTTAAACCTAAGTTCATAGATAGACATTCATGGGTGGGGTTAGTGAAAGTCAGGTCCCGCACATGAGGAACCCGCTAAGTTCATGTCTACTCACTCAGCCAAAAATTGAACATCTCATGTATGTCTATTAGTGATCAGTGGTCATAGGATTTCGCTGCAGGCCATATAGTATTCAACGCCAGTCAGTACTGTCCACTGCAGTAAACTGTACACTATACCCGAACTGTCACACCACAGGTGTGGAAAACAGCCGAGAAGCACGGCGATCGGTGAAACCCTTGTAGTTGCAAATTTAAGGTCCCCCTCCAGTGCAGACAAGCGAATGCACACTATGGTATGCTTGAGGGGAATAAATGCAGCCTGTCGTACCATTGCAAAGTCGCGTGACCCTGGCGAACAGACGGGTCAAATTTCGGCCAAGGTCGCGAGAACAAGAACTAATGGACCAATCCCGTGCATGCGATTGGGTAAGAAAGCAGAAATCAGCTGTCTAGCTGTCGCTCGCATCCACTAAAGCGCAACCAAGCCGCCCATCGATCGCCAGCGGAAACGAGCCTGAAGTCAACGGGGGTGGATTGTACGCCCTATTGGATAAACGCTGTCCATCGGATAGAAAACGGATTGATTTGCCTAATAAGAAACTGATGTCGACATTAGCAACAGGGTACTGGAAAATACGTAGAATAGGCATACCAGTTGGATAGCTGAAAAATTAACTGTGGCAAATTCTTGTTGGTGTACAGATGCCACGTCACCCCAAATAAGCACGAGATAGTATTATGTTGTCCAAGCGTAGACTGGAGTGATAGATGATTCGTAGGTGAATTAGGAAATTTTGACCATAAACTGAGACGAGAATACTGAGACAATATGTGCAAACCAGTTTTCTATTCAACAGATTTCGAGCATATTGCATAGTGCAAGTTCACTTAACCAACGGACCATCTTTCTGGGCTATAAACTAGTCATCCATTGCCTAATATGATTCGCAAGACAAGGGCCGATCACTAACTCTCAGATTTCTCTTAACCCTATGCTATCACACTGGTGAGGCAACAGAAAACAAGTCACCACGAGAAAATTCTGTTCTGACTATGCTCAAAAACGAAAGACCAAATTCAGGCAACTGTCTCGCGTAGTAACTGAAGCTACTGCCCAACGAGCTTTGCATGCCTGGTACCGTATTCCACTTGTGGTCACCCGATGACGTAAAACACATGGTATTCGTTTTCAAGAACGCATGGTCGGTTTGATTATCCCACCGCCGTAGCCGTACTTTGAAAATACGGGGAGCTACCACATGCCGCATCGACGAAACACTCAAAGGGGAGAAAATTCCCAAGACACGAGGAGACAGAACCAGAGGCCCGAAGAGCTACCCCTGATTCTTAAAATGGCGCATTTCCTTCCCAAGAGAAAACACCACGATGGAAATGTCCCTCCTGTCATTGATTTAAACATAAATACATTCAAAAAATACACTCATTCGCAAATCAATTCGGTTTTCACGGGAGACTCAACTGAATCTCTCGTTTATGGTATTCTTCAACTGAATGTGCTGTACACAGGCTAACTCATGTTTCAGTTGGTACGATATTCGAGATATCGCAGTACACTTTCATAAAGGAAACAACGCAATAAAATAATCCACACCACATTAGTGAATGAACTTTTCCTGACCGATAATTTCACCTTGGAGGGACACATGATTCCATGAGTGGGGACATTTAATAGCCAAAATACCAATCGAAGGTAATACGTCTATCTGAGAGATGGGATGAAGCCACGCAGTAACCAGCATTGCTTTCTCATGGTAAACAATGTATTCCACCGGGTTGTATTCCAGTTTAGCTATTATTCGTGGCGCGGGAAGACCTCCAATCGGCAGGTTCAACGCCATTACGAGGAAGGGAGAGGCGCACACAGCGAGTACAAATCGTAGCTCATCAGTAACACGCCTTCGATGCCTAGCTGCTATGCCACCCAAAGCGATTATGAGGGCCGAGATAATGCCCAAGCCTAGATAAGAGCAGTCGAGGTGCAGAGGTTGGGTTCGAATCACGAACACTACACTGAGCTGTCTCGAGCTCGAGCACATGGTGAGGGGGAGACAAGAAGAATAACACGCCAACGTAAGCAAGGAGATCGAATAACTTTTTATCCCTTTGTACTTGTTTGACGTGACTGCATCGGAACTACCGCCAACGTGCAACTGGAAAAGATAAAAGCGCCTGCTATTCGGATGAACCATCGTAAATTCGATCATCTACCCCTCAATTTATGACCGGTGGGAAGCAGCTGTTTGAACGAAAAACACAGGAAGATGCCAGCGACCTGCTAAATGAAATTGACCCGTCAATCCATGGTGTTGTTCAAAATGTGAAGTAGTAAGTAAACCCTAATAAGTAAGCCCGTTGATTACTTATCGGGTTAAACCAAGGATTAATGGAGAAGATTAGTGCTTAGTTTAAAACAGACGTGGAGAATGTATCCAACAGCCCATCTGAGTGAGTGAACTCGAGAAACTACTGACCGAAATGTCCGTGGATCGAACCCAGCTTTGGCATCTCGACGGTTCCTGTTTAGGCCATGGCAACTTGATTACACCTCAGCTTTTTTACTTCGAGTGGCACGGAAGCTAGGTACCGAAAGGGCTTCAATGCCTGATATTGCCAAAGAAATGATACTGTAAATGGCCAGCACGAATGCAGCTTACAAACGACCGTGATGCACAGTCCGGAATGGAAAACAAGACAATCAGCAACATCACCCCATAGTCCATCACTGCACTTATGGGTAAAAACAGTCGATATCGCACCTGAGAGACACTTAGTGACCGGGCGCTCAATCGGACAAGATACCGACAAAACAGTGAACGCTTGGACTGGAAGAAACGTGAATTAACCGTCATATAATCCAAGATAGACGCAGGTGGCGTATCGGCTCACCCTGTAAGTTTGCTACAATTGTTTCATCGGTTATTTTTTGCCCGTTCTTGATTGACTGATCTTAGTTCAGGAGACAGACAATCCTTGTTTATTTGGTGGGTTTGAAACGCAAAGCAGTGGAAGTCGATTGTATACCAGGGTTTTTTCTCTCTCTCAAACACAAGAAAACAAGTCGACTTATGACAACACACGTACGACACCGAACTGCCGCATTGCTATCACAGTGCAAGTCTCACACCACCGATTACAAGGCAAAGGCTGGTTGCAAAAAGCCGGAATCCAAGGTGTCCCCAAAATACAACACAAGCGTAGTAATGCGAGGTGAGGACTTGATTCAGTTTAGTGCACTAGTCACACTGCCATTGATTTATTCATAAAGTATGGATTATTGATCAAGTGAACGGTAAGCACAAAAGCAATCATGCGTAGAGGACCGACTTGGTTGCTAAACACAAGAAAACCGAAAAGAAACCTAATTTATAGTCGCCTTAAAAATATTTCTTAAATCCCACCATAAATTCCGGTCGGAAAATTCTATCAGGATGAAATAAACTCTATTTGAGAACCCAGCCTGGATGCTACGTTTTCAACCTTGGCTTCCGTGTCACCAGTGTGAAGTTGCATTAACCCCTACTAGAGATTACAGACACTAGTACAAGGGATTTTCCATCGATTCGCTGAGGTGTACTTAATGATAAACTCCCATCAAAGAAAGATCACTTTGGTCTGAGCCGACAATATCTTCATACAAACCGTTCCAAAGACAACACAAAACTTGCATCAACATTGGTTTGCCGACTGTCATCAACTTACATCTGGAATTCTAACCCCTCTTTACTGGAGACAAGTTTGTTAAACGTTCTGGCCCTTGGTTGCGGTATTAAGGTTTCTGTTAGAACTATATTTTCTCACTTCTCATTTAGATCTTACTTTCACCCGCAGTCATAGCAAATCACACAAGGGTTAAGGATTGATGGCACCCAAAAAGCCTACCATGCTAAGCGATCACTGAAGGATAACTAAGTTATGCGCAAAATGAATGCGAATACGGTCCTTTCTACTTATCTCGTAAAAACGACAACCCTAAAGCCAGTGGATGCTAGATAGTAGTGCCTTGGGACTTTGAAAAGCAACCTAATCACACTAAGACACTGGCAGATTTGACTTTATCGCTTAGTGGACTATAAGGGGATTCCACAACACGCTAACACAGGCTATATTCGGACGATAGAAGACACGAAACACCTACTTACCGGATTGACGTAGTATAGGAAAGCATTGTTCGGATGATAGAGTGCTTCCTTTGAAAGAAGGTATTGGAATTTTTCTTTGTTCAGAAGCGATTGCTGAAACCAGGCAAATTCACCGAATTAGGAACGCAACGGCGACATGCGAGTGCGTAGAAGAGCGTTAAAAGGGTAAAGTTGCTATAGGCAAACAACGGGTGTGCTGGGTCTGTGGTTATCTTCCGAACACAGAACCACCGGCCGCTCTAGACACGCAGCTCAGCAAACCTATCTTCCAGCCTTGAGGTGCACACAGATGACCAAGTTATGACTATTAACAATGTGCTTATAGAGGATACCAAAAGATATGTTTGCATAATAAAGTTTCTCACCACTGACTTACCTCACACACAAAATCTCCAGCACGGTTCCCACTTGGGGCAGAGCGGATCTGTCCAAACATAATAACCGGGGAAACTGGCTCCCGTAAACATGTGGGAGCGGAAGACGACAGGCCGTCGCCGGGGTTAATCTGATGTTCCGGCCTGGGACGTTTGTGTTCATTCAGCGAAGCTGACTGATCACTGGGTGAGAGCNGGGAAATCGAGGTGAGCAATCTTGATGGGTGCCAGCCCGGGGAACCGATATATCACCACTCTTCTCTCCACGGACGTCACAGAGAAGCTGAGAATCTTGGCCGACTCCATCTGAAAGCCCTCTATCAGAGTTTGCTGACTCCACTCGTTGATTACGTCGCACACGATGAGAACCACGTTTTTGTTCAATGATGCACCGCTTCGGTGCCCGTATCTGTCCAAATCTGCACCGGGAATTTCGTTGGACTTCAGCGGTATTCGTTCTAAGAGGCATACGTGTGTGCCCAATATTTGAATCTGGATTCAGGAGCTCAGCCATTTCACGGAATGTCGACTGATTTCGACGAAGAACAAACTGACGAGGAGGCCGTTAAAAATAGTTAACAGCTGACCGGAATACGTAAGAAACAAAAATGCAAAATATCTAAGGCTGAGAGATATGCACGAAACTAACTGTCCAGAAGTGATCACAATGAAGTAATGAACAACAGCCTCAAATAATGGCAGCGCACGGACCAAGGTCCTCAGAAATGGCAACCTGCATCGGAAAGGGCGGTTGTCGCAGCTTATAAACCTTTCTTTCACCAGGGTCGAAGTAAACACAAAGGCTGCGTCTGCCAATCACAGGTATGTGGTGCGCAACCAATGAGCAACCAGTTAAGCCATTGTCTCAGCTGATTTTCGTTCAAGGTCACCGCAGTCGGCCCAACAACAGGGTTGCAAACGTTCATCCTATCAGAGCGCAGATAGCCACACTGACCAATGCCTACGGGGTTTCGCCCCACCCGGTATCGTTAGCCCTACGTCTCCGTTCTCTTCCTCTAACGTCAAATTTCACGGCTAAGACAGCTGTTCGCTGTTTGCTGAATTAACTTCGTATTGGCACGCGCCTCGGCTGTCCACCCGTGCTCAAAATCCGCTTTGGCTAATCTGATGCAGACAGTCGCACATGACAGTACCGTAGAAAAAACTTCACCCGTGCAGGTTTATCTATTAATTTCAGTGAGCTGCTGTGATCTACGCACAACAGGATGTGCACAGTGCTGCTGCTTACTCATCCTAAGATCAGGGTCCCATAGAGTCGATGCTTATCGTATCCGCCAGAGGAGCGTGAAAAATAATCATGACCGACAACATGGCATCAGTATTCAACACTGATGCTTCGTTGTCATTTTGAAAGCCTTATTTTGAAGAAAAGAATAAAGCTGGATGAGGAAGGGGCTCAGTGCTAGCTTACTACAATCATTCCAATTTGGTAAACCTCCAGATACACAATCAGGCAATCTGGATAGAAACTGACAACAAGAACATCATTGGTATCGGTTGGCAACCATATCTTACAGCGTCTCTAGCCTGGAGCAGTGGGGATCACGCGGTCCCCATCCTGGAAAGAGAGTAGCACCCAAACGTTTCGCGATCACTATCATACTCCTGTACCAGGTCAACGGTTGTTTACCTCACTTATTCTGTCACTGTGAGTTGGACGCGAAACATAGCACTCTCCGACAGACGATGGTTTGGCATGCGAAACACATGCCCTAACCAATGCCGCTTCTGATGCTGGACACACGCAATGGAAGTCCCCGTTGCAACACCGAAAACTCGCTTTCTAAACACCTACATTTTCTCCTCTACGAATACGAAGACCACATTGTCTGCATATTCCAGATCGACAGAGTTTTCGTCAGAGGCTATCTGAAGACAGACATTTGAAGACCTTCCAGCGTTCGTTTCATGTTTTCATCGATCACAAAATTAAATAGTAATGGAGAGGGTGGATACCCCTAACGGACACCGGTTTGTGTACGGAGGCTTTCATAGAATTGTCCGCCTGAGAATACAAAGAACGTATCATGTTCACAAACTTCCGGGCTTTCCTTGGTGTAAAGAAGAACAGACCGATCAACCGAGTCCGATGCGCCTCAGAAATTCAGGAGCACTAGAATTGTGAGTAGCTTATACCTATGGCGTTGTTCTAGCGTCTGACGCAGTGTAAAGATTTGGTCAACGCAACCCCTGTCAGGTCGGAATCCCACTTGCTGCTCTCGAGTCGGTGTTTCACGAGCTGCCGTAAGGCGACGAAGCACAAGCCATCAGTCGATTTGTGACCTGGGGTCTAGGTGATTACACTGTAGTTGCCACATTCACTACGAGCTCCTTTTTTGCAAGTGAGCACCATTACCGACTCTCTCCAGTTGTCTGGGCAGTTCCTTTTCCCAAAGACAGGCAAACACATCATAAAAGCTCCGATTCAGGGCTCCAACCAATGCGGACAGACGGTCGTCCTGACCAGAAACTCGGTACACTAATCTAACATCTGAATCTACCAGTTCCTCAGTTGCTAAGCTATTTGTCTGCATCTCACGCTGTCCTGGAAAACGAAGGGAAAAGGGAACCAGGACGTGCGTGTCATCGGAATCCACAAATGTGTTCCAAAACGATTGGTAGTCAGTTATTCATCCTTACCATCGGTAACCGATGTCATTGTGATCGATTGGAGCCTGTGGCCTACACGCCTTGGCCAGACGAATTCGGCTATTTCGGTAGTTACTACTGCATAGAAACAACCTGTGGTCAGCACGTAGTTGAGGCAATCATTCACCATGGTCCGTATGTGTCCAGTCTAAACCATGTCCATCACCGAATTGAGTTTCAGATTCACTAAGCCTGTGCATGCAGATCTCTGGTCACCACAAGGATATCTGAGCTTTTGGCTCGCCGCAACATGGCATTCAGGGCGTCATAAAACTTGTCTTTGATGGTGTCGGAGCCACAGTAGTTGGGACGCAAGCAGGCACACGAAGTGTGGTGGAATCCGGGGTTTGTAACTGCTAATAAACGATTTTCAGCTTTCAGTGATTTACCAGCGTACTGGACGATGATTGTTGCAGCACAAGAGCCAGAAGGGGCACCATCAAGGATGGTCAATAAAAGGATAAAAGATGGTGAAACAGGAGTAAAAAGTATATTTGTAATGCACTACTCATAAGGTTGCTGAAAACTCCTCGACCTGTGACGTCCCGAATGCTTCACCACCGGTCACTAATCCATGGACCACAATGTTACATTCTACGAAAAAATATCCACTGTGAACCCTGTTCGAAAATATTTTTGCACTGTGTTACACTGAACCATTCTCAATATGCCCTAGATGTTCGCACTCTCTCATAGCTGTCAGTTTCGTTAATACTGTTTTATACAGACCACTTACTGTATCAGTCATATTATCCGGTTGGTGTGATGGTTGAATAGCTCTCCCTATTTTTCTTTGTGACGAGTGGCGTAGCGGAGCGTTAGGTCTATCCATGCGTTGAAAAGTTTGCTCGCTGGTCAACGTGCCTTCGTTTATCTGATCGGTTTTTGCTCTTTCCACACATTCGGGTTGGCAAAAGGCTGGTCCCATAGAGTGACGCAACAAAATATACACCGCGCCGTATTAGTGTGCTACACACTAATGAAGTTGCTTGCTTCCAAATGAGGGACCGGATCCCAGAACACAACCCGATCCTTATCTAGTATCTGACTTTACGTAACTCTCATGATGCACATGTCATGTCTAATGGATTAACATATCTGCAAAAACCCTCCCTGGTTGTCTGACACAGTTCAGGTATAAAACGTCTCTGATATGCTCTTTGGGAAGCACGACCATAACTCGTCGAAACAAGAACAACAGTGAGAACAGCAGCAAAGACATCCAGACAAAGACAGCCGTAATGATCGATTGGTTGTGTGCAAAGCTCGCCACGTGTCTGATTGGTCAGAAGAACCGCACAACCAACTATGGACAAAGAGGTCTGACCGGATTAAAATTTTAAGTTTTAGTCCATTTTGTGAGATTTGGCAAATAATGAGCGCATATCGGACGCGTATCCAGATCCACCTTCGGGGTCACCAACGAACCCTGCATGTGTGTGGACTAACCAGGGTGTGGCCATAGCAGGTACGATTGCGAGACACGCAGCACAGACCAAAAAATTCTAAAAGTCGACTCATTGAATGATTGCCGTTGATTGGATGAATCTTGGAAGCAGGCAAACTGGTAAAATAGCAATAAATAGAATTACCCAGATGAATACAAAGAACTGTAATGCATGTTTGGGACTGGAATCGAAAAATTCGGTGCCATAGTGGTATTGACCACAGTTGGACCAAGCTATGTGCCAGTCAATCAGACACTCTTTTGAAGCCAAGCAACTTGCTTCCAGTCAGCTGTTTTCTGTAGCTCGCTGCAACACAACAGCTGATCCTCGCGTCTATGTATCCCAGGGAGCATGCATACGTTTGCGTGTGCTTCTTGTCTGTCGGTTCATGTGTTCAGTGCGTTTTGTGGGTTCACTAGGACCATCAAACAGAGGTTGTCTGCCGAGAAACACATGCAGTGCTGACTGACTTGTTGCGGTTTTTCGATCGATCCAGCATGTACGGTTAGTGTTAGTCTCCTTGAAAGATGTCGAGACGAATGTGTCCCACGGGAGGACTGCCGGGTGTGCCTTTACTTACAAAATCCACAAGTGAACCACTGAAATTTCGGATCAGATGACAGATAGGAACTCAAGAGTTTTATGAGTTTTTACGAGTCATTTGGCAGCGTATTGATCGTAAGCATAGGAGGATAGGTCAACTCAGGGTCAAAGTAGATAAACGGCTACTCCAAAACGGAAAGGTTAGGAAACCAGGTGCACATAAAAGCACCGTATTCGTCAGTTGCCGCGGCAACTATTTTCAGCACCTTTTTCAATTTGGCCCTATTGTGAGCAAACCTGGTTGTGCAGCTGCAAAAATGTTTGTACCTCCCGAGAGCACACTACCACGCGCGATGAGTACCTCTTCTCTGTACAGGCCACTGTTTCCCTTTCCCTGATTATCATTTAATTTCATTATCTGAGTTCCACCGGAAAAAGAAGCTAATCCTACCACAGCATTGCTTAGTTCTTTTGGGTTAAACAAGACAGGACGCATGATGCGTAACACTAGGTTGTACTCTTACTTCGATTATTTGTTCCCATACCTCCCTCGCCAGGCATTCCACTTTAGAACCCTCTAAGTGAGCTTTGCGCTTTTTTCATATTGATGACTAACTTCAATGTCGGTTCATTATACACACTGGAACATGAGACCGTAGATCATGCTAAGTCATAGAGGTGTGGTTTTGATATTCCTAGAATTTGTCCACGTGGATTTTCGCCAAAACGACTCACTGTCTCGCAATCTCGCACGTGATAATGGGCCAAAGTAAATTGACCAGGTTAGCATAGTTTATTGTAACCAGTAGCTGCGCGGTGTTGATTCCGCAAGGTTGGAGTGGCTGCAAGATGGGGCCGCCAATCGATATCAACTGCACTTCTGTCGTCCAGACAGATGATTATGAAAGGCTAGCACTATCCTTGTTTTACCCTTTTATTCACAATAAGGCATTCAAATAAACTATGATTGTACCAAGGTAGAGCATCAGCGTTGAACACCGATGTTATGCTGTGACAGCTCTGACTATTGTGCCGCAAATACACGGTTTTCAAAGATGATG